TTTTTAATTTTTACTTTTGCTCTTCAATCGCCTTTGAAACAATTTCCCCCTTTCAAAGCCTAGACGAATACCTCCTTTGCTGGAGCACTCATAGCTATAAAAGCTATAATCCTGACACGTTCCGGAGAATATATTTTTTCTTTCTTTTCTCTTTCCAGCTATCTGATTTTTTTTCTCCAAATTTCGCTTGCAAAATCTTTTAATATCACTGCTAACTCCAGCGCCAAACTCATTTTCACACATTCACAACCTTTCACACATTTTCTTTAAGTTTTGCCTATTACCTTGCGAACCCAATGTCCTCCACTTGAAAATCGCGATCGACGTCGACACACGCCCTTAAATGGCATCCATTCGAAGTTCGCGTTGATGTCTTCGACGCCAGTGTGAATGAAAAACGGAATAAAAGCGAATGAAAGAAGGAATGAATAAACGAAGCCACATGACGGTCTTAAGAGGTCTTAACCACTGTAGGAAAGAGATTGGCAGTAATTGTATGACGACTGTGTTATCTCATCATGTTAAGACGTTCAAGGAAATGACGGGATATTGAAGATGGCTGGACGTCGCTATTTGGGTAATAGTAATGACAATAAACATAGCGGCCATAGTAAACCGTGGGATGGACATTTAAATAAATGGAATTATGAGTAGATGCTTACAATGTCGGTGATTGGGAGGGCAATCGATTTACTATGAATTCGAGGAACTCCCTCCTAGTAAAAGCGTTAATTTTAGCCAAACATTTCTTAGTTTTACATCTAAATTATATATGTCATATTAATTTTTATGGACATTTAGATTGTCTTACATTCAGATTTTTCATTGTTTTCTCTTTCTTTGTTGTTTTGTTCTTTGCTTCAGTTTTTTTCTTGGTTTTCTCTTCTTAGCTTTTATCATGCTTTTTTCAGTACTTGCTTTTTTTCTTTCTTTTGTTTTTCTTTCTTACTAACTTTTTTTTTTTTTTCTTCATTTCCAACATCATCCTTTCTTTCAAACTATGTTAGTTTTTGTTTTTCATTCTTATTCCATCATTTTTTTATTCTGATTTGCTTGTATTTCCTTTCTGTTTCCTTTCTTCTTTTGTTCTGCTTGGTTTTCTATTCCTTGCTCGCTTGCACTTGTTATTTCTTTTTCTTTCTTCACATCATTCTCGATTTCTCGCTTAAAGAAAGAATATAGCAAGGAAGAAAAATAACAAGCCTTCCTTCATGCCTTGTTTGATATTTTCATTCTGAACTATCCATCCTCTCCCTGAATTCATTTTTTCTTTCGACATCTCTTCTTTGTTTCTTTAGTTTTCTTTCTTTCTTTCTTTCTTTCTTTCTTTCTTTCTTTCTTTCTTTCTTTCTTTCTTTCTGAATCCTCTCTTCTTTACTTAATTTCTCCTTTAATTTTCTTTGTTCTCCTTTGTTTCTTTTTTTAATCCTCCCTCCTCTTCATTCATTCATTCTTTCTTTCTGTCTTTCTTTCTGAATTCTCTCTCCTTTACTTATTTTTTTAAGCATTTTACCCCAAGCAAGGCTGGAAGCCATTAGCACGCAAGGGGTTACATAGGATTTGGAGCTAGAGCAGATAGGAGTGATAGAGGAAAGGATGAAGAGAAGGATAGTGGACAGATCAAGACAACTGGAGATGTCTATTGACATTACATTTGAATAGATGGAGATTATAGCTATCGCGGAAACAGGAAAAGAGAAGGAAGTTCCACAAGCGAGAGGTGCTAAATATGAAGCTAATGGAGTAGAAAAGACATATATATTTAACAGTTTCAACGCTTGAATTCATGAAGCCTGGGAACCAGCAAAAGCAGCTCATCGGAGCAATTACTATGAAAGTATTTGTAAAAAAAGACAGAGAGAGGCGACGGCACGTCTGTTAGAGAGCGACTGCAGACTAGATGCCAGATCAGGGACAATTATATTGCATATCCGCCTCTGGAGCCTATCAAGAACCCCGAGGCAAACAGAAGGGGCTCCAGACCATATATGGCAGCAATACTCCATGCAAGAGCGAATTTCTCCTTTAATTTTCTTTCTTCTTTGTTTCCTTTTTGAATCTTCTTTCCTCTTCATTCATTCTTTCTTTCTTTCTTTCTTTCTTTCTTTCTTTCTTTCTTTCTTTCTTTCTATATTCTCCCTTCTCGCCTCTGTTTTTTTCTTTCTTTCTTTTTTTGTCTTTTCCCATTCTATTTTCCTAGCATAAGTTTTATGCCATCGGAAATTAATTTATTATATACTTCCTATCTGTAATTCCTCTTTCGTTTTATCGTATTTTCTATGTCACTTTTCCGTATCACTCTTATCAGGTTTGGTTTCAACAGCTTTTACAGTTAATTTTGGGAAAAATATCTTTTCTCCAGGGTACATTTTTTTGTTTTTAATTTCGCATTCGTTTTTTTAGTTATTAATATTTTCGGCTGCCTATTTCTTTCTTTCTTTATTTTACTTTAGACTTGCTAATTCTTCTTGATTCTAAATAACACGTTTACTATTCTTTCGCCATGTTAATTCTTTTTATCTTCTTTCGATTCCGTCTATTTCATTACCATTTTTCTTCTTTCGCCTGACATAAGTTGTCATATTGTTTCCATTACTTTTTCTTCTTTCTATCTTTCATTTTACTTTTCTCCCCCCTCTCTCTCGATATATATATATATATATATATATATATATATATATATATACCTCATGCTTACTTTGTATTTCTCTACTATATCTATCTTCCGATTTAATACTTATATTTTTCTTACTTAATTCCACTATTTTACGTCAATGGTATTCTGTATTGACTGCCACTTCCAGATGATTCGACAATTTACCTATAGTTAAAAGTAAAAGACATCGAGAAAGTAAGTTTTGTCTCCATTGTGTCCTTGCTGAAATATTATTTCCAGATATTTATTTCTATTTAATGTCCGAACAGTATCGCTTGCAAAACTTGAATATCTCCGATTTCGTAGTTGAAGAGAGGTCATGTTGAAAGAAGATATGAGTATTTTCTCTATTCATGGAAATATTCTTACAATTTCGCAAAATTGTCTCAGAAAAATGATCAAAGTTTTCCCTATCAAACAAAACTTATAGAAAAAAATTCGAAACAGGTACTGTGATACTTGCACCAGATCAAGACTTTGATCCAGTTGTCATGCATGGCGCCAAATATTTACAGAAATATTCAAACTGTCATCAATATATAAACGCTTTTCACATCAATGGCTTCGAGCGAAGGATTCATGTAGGGCTTAAGGAGGAGCATCTTTGTTTGAAATTCGTGGACTTGAGCTACCTAATAACAAAAATAAATAATATATGTATCTCTAAGGGAATAACATGACAAAATCAGTCGTTTCTAAATCAATCAAAAGTTTACTAAGAAATATCCCCATTAATATTGGAAAAAAAAGAAATGATATTTAGTGTAGTTAAGAAAACCATTTCCCTGAAAAATTATTTTAAGATACAAATTATATAAATATTAACCAAAAGTAGCACTGGCTGCACGCTCAATGAAAACTGAATGTTCATTTATAAGGAAACGACATACATTATTAATACTCAATTAAAATACTAATATTGTTAATACTCAATTAAAATACTAATATTGTTAATACTCATTTAAAATACTAATATTGTTAATACTCAATTAAAATACTAATATTGTTAATACTCAATTAAAATACTAATATTGTTAATACTCAATTAAAATACTACTTCTCGGCAAAACAATTACAAGATTTCTCACATGATTCAGGAGATGTAAATCACAGACACTTATATTTAAAACTACCGTTCATTACACCTGCTTACAGAAAGAAGGCTGCTTAGATTTTTAAAAAATTATCTCCAAAGTTCTCAGATGCTAATCTGAATGCATTTAGCCTCTTTCCTCATCACCTGCACTAGAAATTTCAACTGTCTCTTTTTGATGAGACATTAAAGTGTTTTTTTTTACTACTATCTCTAAAACGTTGGTCGTTGCTCATGTATTCAATCGATGGTATATTCAGCATCCTTCTGTCGAATCATTCACTACTATATAAAAAGAACGATATTGCGTAATGGTTCAGTACACTTTTCTTTATTTCCAATGATATTAACTGTTTCTTACTACTTTGCTTACCTTTTGGAAGGCACATTTCGATATCGTATTATGCGTTTTGTATTTTGCTGTTGCATTTCTCGTCTTCTGCTACATTTCTCAGATATTGAAATTTTTGCACATGTTTAATTTTGATACATACAATTTGACATTGGAATGTTGGGATATTTCTTTTGATAACCTTGTGTTTTGTCTACTTAATCTTGATGATTAGTCCTTTCTTGAATGTTTCCTTTTACAACCAGATGTAGGAATTCCTGTAATTACCTTTCTGTATCAGATATCCACACTGTTATCTGCACAGCTCATGTTCTTAAGATAGAGGCAGCCAATATTGAATCCTCGTAGGATTTCTAATTCTCTCAGGATTGCTTCACACGAAAGTTTGAATAAGACTAGCAGAAAAGACAAATCCTTGTATTTACGCCCATTTCGAATTTTGTGTACGGAATTTATTCTATCTCCTGTTACAGGCGATTTGATCCCAGTATAAATCTTGTATTATTCTAATATCCTTCCCATATAAATAAAACAATTTCCACAGTTCTTATTTAGTCAAACGCTTTTGCATAATCTATAAAATATGGTTATACACATTATTACATTTGTATTGCTCTCATATCACTCAGTTTATTTAAAATATGATAGACATATCTTTGTCTTTTGCCTTCAATAAAAACTGTTTGAATGCAGAGATGTGTGTAAATATGTTGCTGGGTTCGTATGCATGTGTTAGTGTTGTTAATGGTTGTCCTTGTTGGTGCAATCTAGTTTCCAGCGATACATGTGAAAATATTAATCGTTTGACGTCTTCCTCCTTTCATTGTTCCTGATTCACTTTCTGTTAGCGCAAAATCATAAAACTCCTGTGGTCAATTCCGCAGACGTTTTCGTGACGTATGCCAGCTTCTTTCATTTATATCGCATTTCTTTTGATTCTGTTCGATACGAAACAGGAATGTTCACAGACGACTCATAGCGTTATCTTTGACCGCGTCTGCCGAGAAGGCGGCAAATTCCATGTCTTCCAAAGTTCAGATAAAACGAAGAAGTAAGAGATAATGAAAGACAATGGCGACATGAAGAGACAAAGAATTTTTCTTATTCGAAAGCAAAACAAACAAAAAAAAAAAGAATTCGATCTTAAAATAAGATATTTCCTAAATAACACTAAAATACTTTGGTTTCTGCATATGGCTTATTTAAATTTGAAAGTTATATAAATTATACGATATAAAACATTAGTTTTTTTTTTATCTCTATTTACACTATTCTATGACTGTTAATTGCCTCTCCTAAAAATGTCTCAAAACATCAAGAATGCACTCCGTATAGTGCGTTTCTTTCAAATATGTGTATATATATAATAACGCCTGACGCCTGAATTATGTTCTTTTCTTAATTAAGGTGCCATCTATAAAATCAGAGATAAGATCAAAGTATACTGTGTGTGTACGTAGTTGATAGTGAAAAAGTTTAAATGACAATCTTTTAAATTTGTCAATATGTAAAACAGTTTATAAAAGACTTAGATTTCTATCTTCAGCAGCGAAACACCAGGAATAATGGAAATAATATTTAAATGTTGAAAAAGGGGAGAGACATGATTTAAAATTCTTTCAATTCTTTCAAAATAAAACAATTTAAATTACATCAACTTTTATAAAATACATACTTAATAGAATACATGTCTAATAATAATACCAACCATTTATGTGCGTGAGGGCGTGCAAGACACAGAGAGAGAGAGAGAGAGAGAGAGAGAAGAGAGAGGGGCGAGGTGAAAAATTTTCTGATTTTCACATTTATCAACAAAGGACCAGATAATCAAACTAGAATTTCCTTTTCTATAATCAAACTAGAATTTCCTTCTGTATAATTAAACTAGAATTTCCTTTTTCTATAATCAAACTCAAATTCCCTTCTGTATAATCAAACTAGAATTTCCTTTTGTATAACTGTGCCACAGACAAAAATTCTTACCGTGGATATTTAGCATATAGGTCGTTCTCCATTTTTCGGAAGAAATTCGTTTCTTTGAAAAGAAATCTCTCTGGAGATTGTAAAAATATAAAAGGCTTGATTGCCTATTTCACTGAAATTCTTTTGGATTTAGTTTAATATGATACCCGTCTCTGCAATCTGTCAATACGTACAGCCGCGCTGATCTTTAACTAAACGCAAGCCATTATCTTTTTTATTTATTTCGTATTTCGAGTATTAATTTAATCCTTAACCGAGTCTAACTTACTCACTATTTCTTTCTCTCTCTCTCTTTCTGTATGTCTTTCTGTCACTCTCTTTCTTTCTTCCTCTTTTTCTATCTTTCTTGTGCTCTCTCTCTTACTGTCTTTATTTTAGTTTCTCTTACTGTCTTTATTTCTGTCTCTCTTATTGTCTCCCGCTATCTTATTGTCTCTCTTTCTGTCCTTTTTTTTGTCTATCTTGTTGTCTCTCTCTCTTCCTTTCTTTTAGTTTCTTTTACTGTCTTTCTTTCTGTCTCTCTTACTGTCTCACGCTCTCCTACACTCTTTCACTTTCTATCTCTTTCTTTCTGTCTTTTTTTGCTGTATTAATGTCTCTCTCGCTCTTCCTGATTTTTTTTCTGTCACTCTTAGTGTTTGTCTCTCTTACTGTCTTTCTTTTAGTTTCTCTTACTGTCTTTCTTTCTGTCTCTCATACTGTCTCACTTTCTCTCTTAATATCTTTTTCTGTCTTTTTACTGTCTGTCGCTCTCTCTAACAGTCTTTCTTTTAGTTTTTCTTACTGTCTTTCTTTCTGTCTCCCTTACTGTCACACGCTCTTCTACTGTCTCTCTTTCTGTCTCTTTCTTTCTGTCTCTTTCTTTCTTTCTTTCTGTCTCTTTCTTTCTGTCTATTTTACTGTCTATTTTACTGTCTATTTCTGTCTTATCTTTTTTTTGTCTCTCTTACTCTATCTATCTCTCTCTTACTGGCTTTCTTTTAGCTTCTCTTACTCTCTTTCTTTCTGTCTCTCATATTGTCTCACTTTCTTGCTTTCTCTCTTAATGTCTTTTTCTGTTTTTTACTCTCTCTCTCTCTCTCTCTCTAACTGTCTTTCTTTGAGTTTTTCTTAGTGTCTTTCTTTCTGTCTCTCGTACTGTCTCTTTCTTTCTTTCTGTCTCCTTGACTGTCTATTTTACTGTCTATTTCTGTCTTGTTATCTTTTTTCCGTCTGTCTTACTGTTTCTCTCTCTCTCTCTCTCTCTCTCTCTCTCTCTCTCTCTCTCTTTACTGGCTTTCTTTTAGCTTATCTTACTGTCTTTCACTCTGTCTTTCTTAATGTCTCACTCTGCCTTACTCTCTTTTTCTCTCTCGCTTACTGTGTGTGTATCTCTCTTTCTTACGGCCACTATTTCTATCTCTCTTGCTGTCTCTGTCTATCTTATTATTATTCTTTTTGTCTCTTTTACAATCTCTTCTCTGTGCTTCTCTCTTACTGTCTCTATCTCTGTTTGTCCTTTTTTTTCTGTCTTTTTCCTATTGATTATCTCCTTATTGTCTCTCATATTCTGTCTTTGTTTCTGTATCTCTCTCTTACTGTCTTTCTATCTTTTTCACTTTTTTACTCTTTCTTATAGTCTTTCTGTCTCTCATACTTCTTTTCTTTCTATCTCTGTTACAGTCTCACTCTCACTTACTGTCTTTTTTATGTCTCTCTTAATTTGTATGTGTCTCTTTGTTTCTCTTATTGTCTTTCCGTCTCTCTCTCTTAGTGTTTTTCTTTCTGTCTCTTTTACTCTCTTTCTTACTGTTTCTATCTCTTACTGTCTCTTTTTTGTCTCTCTTACTCTCTTTTACTGTGTCTCTTTTTCTCTTACTGTTTCTCTTTAAGTCTCTTTTACTCCGTGTGTGTGTGTGTCTCTCTCTCTCTCTCTTTACTGTCTCACTTTCTATCTATCTCACTCTGTGTCTGTCTTATACTTTCTTTTTCTGTCTCTTTTACTCTCTCTCTCTTATTGTCTCTCTTTCGGTCACTGTTACTCTCTTTCTCTTACTGTCTGTCTTTCTCTTTGTGCCTTTCTTACTCTCTCTCTCTCTCTTTGACTCTCTCTCTCTCTTTGACTCTCTCTCTTTATCCCCCCTCTCTCTCTCTCACTTTCTTTCTTCGAAATTTTTGTAAAATGTTTCATTACCATTGTGTTTCTCTATCACTTTTCAACTCTTCAAATACTTCGGAGTCATTTCCCACTAATTTGTAATATTTCTTTTTCTTTTTCTTTTTCTTTTTTCAAGGATATGTTATTTCTATTTTTTTTATTTCTTTAATCGATCAAGTGTAATCTTGAAATATGTCTTTGATAACCGTCTGCATTCATCTTTATTCGCTTCTCTTCTATTTATTTCTTCAAATACCACATTTGCCCCCTTCAAATCACCATCTGTCAGTCCTTATTCTTTTGAATACAAATTCTTCAATACATTCTTTTGCTTTTATTCATTCTCATGACCGTGAACACCCATCTGCGCGCTCTGCTCTTGGCAACAACGAAATTTCCTGAGAATCTGTGAAGAGTGGATTCTCGAAATTTATTAAGTGAAATTCCAAAACATTTAACTGACACAGGACATTCCTTTCTCAAACAAAAGCAAAATTTCTCCGTAGGAATATGATACATTACTTGAGAAAACAACTGTTTTTACATTAATAAAAAAAAATTCTTATTGAACATCTGGGCTATAGTAAATATTAACTCTTCATAATGTTATCGCTTCGGCTACGATCAACTATAGACATTACGATTTATTTTTACAATGATATTCCGCCTGTACAAGGCCCATAGATACTCGAGGTAGAACGTTACAGATTAAGAGGTACATATTATGAAGGATGATAACGGTTAACCATGGACTGGAGCAGGGGATGATTGTGGTGGTTGGGGAAGCATTTTCAGACATATAAATGTCTAAATGTTGCTGTGTAAGATATAAAGCATAGTTTCGTATTTTCCGCTAGTGTCATTATTTGCTGTTAGAAAACACAACTGCAATATATCTGCCTTGCCATTACGACCTATAACATATTTTACAATGATGTACAATTTTACTGGGCCCGAGAGTCACTCGAATTAGAAAGTTACAGAGCAAGAGGCACGGTTTATGCGGATATGAGAGAAGGAAAACAGTTAACCCTAGATTTGAACAGCTTAAGACTGTAGTGACCAGGTACGCGTCCTCTTGGTGGTCGGTTCCACAATGCAGTGGTTCGTGGGAAAGAGATGCTAGAGTTGAACTTACTTCTAACCAATGGAATAAGAAGGGAATAAGGATGGTTTGCTACAATATTGTTGTGGTAGGATCCACCTAATTTGCATAGTGGAGTACCGACCATATAAATATGGTTGGTACCGGGAAGAGAGGGAGGAATCAAGAGATTCAACCAGAGACTCTGCCCGACTGCGACTCAGTCAACACATTCTCCAGGAACGGTCTTACCAGGAATATACAAAAGACTATATGTAAATATTGTGTACACTTTCTTGTTTCAATACATTTTGTTCTAAGTACATTTTGTGTTGCATGATTATTCCATGCATTAGTCAAGTTTCAACAAATATGATTGTCTTAATGGTGAAGGCTAGGATTGATGTAACCAAAGAATGTAGCTAATCTGAACACTTTCCAAGGTAATAATGTTAGAGCATTAAGAGGTTTGCTGAGTTTTCCTTTGTGAGGAGGAGTTGTAGGATGGAAGATAAAACATCAATCACAACGACGGGGAGATGCTCTATAACTTTATCGAGATTGAGCATTTCCCGCCCATATATGGCTGTGGTTCTCCATTTTCGGCCTGATATGTCTCTTGTAATGGTAGAGATTAGCAGGATGATTTTGGTACTTATTGGTACGGTACACGGAGCCGACCATTTTACCAGTATACTTTTGGATATGAATGTAGTCAACTTTCAATATTTCTGAGATGACGTATTGTAATTATTTACACCATTTAAATTGTTCGGAATATAGTCCTCATCTTTTTTTCTATAGTCAGGATATTTCGGCCTTTGTACGCTCTGACCTTCTTCAGTGCTTTTTATATTTCTTATATGAGGTACTGTAATTATTTACACCATTTACATTTTTCGGAATATTGTCCTCATCTTCGTTTGCATATGTGTCCTTGAGGTTCTCAAGGATACATTGCTCAGTGAATGAATGTGTTGGTTGAATCCAGGAACTTGACCCAAAGAGTTGTGAGTTCAAAACAAAAAAAAACTTGTAGAGTTTATTTAAAGAGAGATAACTGATACTGAGACATGGGGATGAGGCATGACACGTGGAACTAGAATAACCAACAACCGTTAACGAAATAAAGGGTTCAGTTCAAAATTCCAATCAATTGAAGAGGGCTGAAGCGTACAACTGCCCAAACGTCGTCAATACAGCAAAGAAGATGAAGACATCAGTCCGAACAATATAAATAAAGCAAAGAAAAGTAAACATCTTATATTTTATTGATAATTCATAAAAGAATTATTTACCTTGAGTTAATATAATCAGGTACAAATCCACAAAAATTGAATTTTCAGTGGTATTCAAATTTACGACAGAGTATATACTATTCAGCTGACAGTTACACCAGCTTATATGACCATATATATATATATATATATATATATATATATATATATATATATATATATATATATATATATTCCCAAGAGGATAGAATCCAGGTAGAGCTCAATGTCCCTCCACTCATCTTCATTTTTGTCCTCTCTCTCTCATAATCTGGATTTCACCTAAGCAGATCGTCAGAGAAAGACGGCTTTCCCTGACGATCCGCTTAGGTGAAAAATAGGTAGGTTTGTCTGGCTCACTAGTTTTATATATATATATATATATATATATATATATATTGAGGCTGTCAACGTGTCTGAATATGGCTATTACTATCTATTTTCTTGGAGAATATCTACTCTGGCACAAACAGTATCGATTTGCATCCATGCCACCGAACTTCTTCAGAATTACGTAAAATGTCAACTTTATAGCACCGCTTTCTAAGATTAATTATTAAAAATAACTTTGAGCGAACGGAAATTGCGTGTCTCAGCGCGGATAATGATTCTTCAAACCGTATGTACTGTACTATAGAATCATAAGCAACTCTACCAGATACCAGATGCCACACTTTGTTGACTTTCAACAACTAAAATAGTTATCACATGCAACTCGAAGATGTTGACGTTACACAATAATTTAAGCAAATGTTTATGAAAGAAGCAACCTTCACTGCTGAAAAGAGTAATAACAGCTACTAGACTCGAGAAAACTAATTTTCTGAAAAATATTTTAAAAATATTTTATAAATTTCATCAGATATTAGCATTGAACGCACGGTCAATGAAATCAGAATGTTTCCTTATAAGGAAATGGTTAATATTACCATTACAATTTCTAATCTAGCCAATTCCGAGAAGCGAGTTTTCATTACATTTAGTTTATTTTTTACTGATTTTGTCAAAACTTTAGTTATTCTAATGTCTGACTTTCCCGAATTTTATTCCAAACTGTGGAAAATTTCCTGAACTTCTTTCAATCACACATTTTCTTTGGACCCACGTTTTCCATTTTACATGATTTCTACACAGCAGTGGATTGGACGCTATGTTGAGTCAAACGTAAGAAGGAGAAGCAATTGTTAAAACATTTTAATGTTATATTGTTTCTGTGAATATCACACAATTATAACTTTTCGCAACAGATTGAGATGTTTATGACAATATATTTGACAAGTTTAAATATTTCCTTTTTTTTTTTGGTAGATAGCGTCATTTTCCCTATATCCCTACATTTACTTTAACAAGAATTGCTTCTCTGTTAATGATTTTAGTTAACGTAATGTAGCTTAAGAAATAACTTGAAAGGTACCAATTGCTTTAATTTTGCAGTTATGATTTCAAAAAAGCCAAAAGATTTTTCTTTTGAAAATATAATATTTTTCTTCCTTTTTGATGCTTTGCTTTCGATTGTTAGCCTTTCGTTATAATGGCTGGTTTTTGTTAATGATCAATGAATATTTTTAAAAGACTGAACTCGAGTTATTAATTTTGCTAGAATTTTATATATATATATATATTTTTTGTTTTCCCGGTCGATAAATGTTCCTTGGTTTGCGTTGATTATGTTTCTCCTCTTTCTTTTATCCTTACGTTGAAGGAAATATTCAATGAATGTATCAAGCGTAAAGATTCAACGTCCAAGGTTTACATTTAATGGAAGTTAAACCAAAGGAAATTTACTCATTCAAAGCAACTGAGGTGTACAGTTTTTTACCATACTTACAAGTGGCATGCCCGCGCATACACACCCGCACATATATCTCTTTTGCTCTCTATCTCTCTCTCTCCCTCCCTATGTATATATATATATATATATATATATATATATATATATATTTCTCTCTCTCTCTCTCTCTCTCACTCTATATATATATATATATATATATTTCCGTATATTTTAGCAGCATATTTTCATTTAAGATTGCCTGATTAAATAATTTAGACATGTTTGTTTATTTTTATAAGGTATTTTCATAATCACGTATAAGCATTCATGTTCAAGAAAGCGAGGATGAATACCTGAATATTTCGGGATATTTAACCCAAGTAATTTTAATATATCAAGACTGATGTCTCTCTCTGGCTTAAAATGAACACATTTATGAGCAATAATATATATATATATATATATGTTAAGAAAAGGACGAGGTCCGACAATTTATTTATTAAAGACATTTTTATTTATGTTTAACGTTGTTATTTTATAGATACAAGTATTTAAGCAAATGCTCTGTTTATGATAAACAGTATTAAATAACATTTACCGGCCTGAATGTCCGAGAAATTTTCATAGAAAATATTCGTTCATAGACAGGATTCGAACCTGCATCCTATACGGAACCGTCATATACGCTGACGTGCCTTGACCACTCGGCCACCATGAACCTTATGGTAGACAAGGTCGAATTTACTGTTATAAACTACAATCTTCCATGAATCCATAAAACGCAGGGTTACAAACTCATATCCATACAACAGAATATATATATATATATATATATATATATATATATATATATATATATATATATATATATATATATATATATATATATATATATATATATATATATATGTGTGTGTGTGTGTATATATATATATATATATATATATATATATATATATATATATATATATATATATATATATATATATATATATATATATATATATATGTATATATATATATATATATATATATATATATATATATATATATATATATATATATATATATATTACAGGTAATAGATCCATTGGTAAATAATCTAGTGTATCCTAATGATATCAAATATTAAACTTTCTGGATCAGTTTTAATATTTGAAATTATTAGGATCCACCTGGATTATATACCAACGGATCTATTACTTGTAATATATTTCT